GAGAGAAAAAGAGAGAAGGGGCAATGTTACTATACTTTTTCCACACTTGTGCTTCAAAGTAGCACCATGATCTTCATGATAGAGAGTCTCCTTGATATCACTTTCATATACCAGTGGGAATTTTTCATTATAGAAGTTGGCTTGTATATTCCAATGATGGGCTTCCTCAAATTTCCCTAGGTCTTCGTGAGCAAGCGAGTTGGATGCACACCCACTTAGTTTTCTTTTGAGCTTTCATAAACTTATAGCTCTAGTGCATCCGTTGCATGGAAATCCCTACTCACTCACATTGATATCTATTGATGAGCATCTCCATAGCCCGTTGATATGCCTAGTTGATTTGAGACTATCTCCCTCTTTTTGTCTTCTCCACAACCACCATATTCTATTTCACCTATAGTGTTGTATCCATGGCTCACGCTCATGTATTGCGTGAAAGTTGAAAAGGTTTGAGAACATCAAAAGTATGAAACAATTGCTTGGCTTGTCATCGGGGTTGTGCATGATTTAAATATTTTGTGTGATGAAGATGGAGCATAGCCAGACTATATGATTTTGTAGGGATAGCTTTCTTTGGCCATGTTATTTTGAGAAGACATGATTACTTTATTAGGTATGCTTGAAGTATTATAGTTTTTATGTCAATATTAAACTTTTGTTTTGAATCTTACGAATCTGAACATTCATGCCACAATAAAGGAGATTACATGGACAAATATGTTAGGTAGCATTCCACATAAAAAATTCTATTTTTATCATTTACCTACTCGAGGACGAGCAGGAATTAAGCTTGGGGATGCTTGATACGTCTCCAACGTATCTATAATTTTTGATTGTTCCATGCTATTATGTTATCTGTTTTGGATGTTTTATATGCATTAATATGCTATTTTCTATTACTTTTGGGACTAACCTATTAACCTAGAGCCCAGTGCCAGTTCCTGTTTTTTTTCCTTGTTTTGAGTTTAGCAGAAAAGGAATACCAAACGGAATAAAACTTTCTTGATGATTTTTCTTGGACCAGAAGACAACCAGGAGACTTGGAGATGAAGTCGGAAGAGCCACAAGGCAGCCACGAGGACGGAGGGTGTGCCCGGGGGGTAGGGCGCGCCCCCACTCTTGTGGGCCCCTCGTGCACCCCCTGACCTAATTTCTTCGCATATATATTCCCATATATCCCCAAACCAACAAAGGCATCCACGAAAACACTTTTCGCCACCGCAACCTTCTGTACCCGTGAGATCCCATCTAGGGACCTTTTCCGGCGTCCTGACGGAGGGGGATTTGATCACGGAGGGCTTCTACATCAACACCATTGCCCTTCTGATGAAGTGTGAGTAGTTTACCACAGACCTACGGGTCCATGGTTAGTGGCAAGATGGCTTCTTCTCTCTCTTTGATTCTCAATACCATGTTCTCCTCGATGTTCTTGGAGATCTATTCGATGTAATACTTTTTTGCGGTGTGTTTGCCGAGATCCAATGAATTGTGGATTTATGATCAGCTTATGTATGAATATTATTTGAATCTTTTCTGAATTCTTATATGCATGATTTAATATCTTTGCAAGTCTCTTCGAATTATCGGTTCGGTTTGGCCAACTAGATTGGTTCTTCTTTCAATGGGAGAAGTGCTTAGCTTTGGGTTCAATCTTGTGGTGTCCTTTCCCAGTGACAGTAGAGGCAGAAAGGCATGTATTGTATTGTTTCCATCGAGGATAAAAAGATGGGGTTTTCATCATATTGCTTAAATTAATTCCTCTACATCATGTCATCTTACTTAATGCGTTACTCAATTCTGTATGAACTTAATACTCTAGATGCATGCTGGATAGCGGTCGATGTGTGGAGTAATAGTAGTAGATGCAGAATCATTTTGGTCTACTTGACACGGACATGATGCCTATATTAATGATCATTGCCTTAGATATCGTCATAACTTTGCATTCTTCTATCAATTGCTCGGCAGTAATTTGTTTATCCATCGTATTATTTTCTATCTTGAGAGAAGCCTCTAGTGAAACCTATGGCCGCCGGGTCTCTTTTCCATAATATAATTTTCGGATCTATAATATTAGTTTCCGATCTACTATTCTTGCAATCTTTTACTTTCCGTTCTATAAATAAAAAATACCAAAAATATTTACTTTATCGTTTATCTATCTCTATGAGATCTCACTTTTGCAAGTAACCGTGAAGGGATTGACAACCCCTTTGTCGCGTTGGATGCAAGTTTTTAATTGTTTGTGCAGGTATTCGGTGATTTGTGCGTTGTCTCCTACTGGATTGATACCTTGGTTCTCAAACTGAGGGAAATACTTATCTCTACTTTGCTGCATCACCCTTTCCTCTTCAAGGAAAAAATCAACGCAAGCTCAAGAAGTAGCACCGACCCGGCCCGAAAAAGCCCGACCTTATCCACGGGCCGGACTCGGGCCTAGATTTCAAGCCCGACGGCCGGGCCGGGCCCGTCGTATTCGTGCATTAACAAAGAGGCCCGGCGGGCTTTTAGCGTGATGGGTCGGGCTTGGGCCCGATTTTTTGGCCCGACGGCCGGGCTGGGCCGTGCTCGGGCCTGGTTTTTTTGCATTGGGCTTTGGTAGGCCGGCCCGGCCCGAGAGATGGCCAGGTATACCACAGTTCAGAGAAGTGAATTCGACCTTCATCGCCTCCAACACACCATAAATCTCAAAATATAGCTCACAATTATCAAGCCAGACCTGATAATTGGTCCCATCAAACTTAGGGAAATCCATTTTGGGCGTGCTACCAAAGTGAGGACGCGGTGGTGCGCGTGTCACGCGACGATCATCTGACTGCGTCTCTCTATTGAACACGTTGTGTGCGGAGCGCGTACCGTTCGCCGGAGGCAGTCCAGGGAATCGAGGATCCCCGAAAACTAGCCCCCGATGTGGTAGGTTGCCATCGTGGCCGTTGGCCCGATCCACGCCGTCCGTGCGCACTTCCACCGTGGGTGGCGTGACATGATTGCCGGTTGGACCTTGCGTTGTTGTGGCTGTGGGCGACGCCTCGAGCGCCGCATCCTCCGCATGGAGTTGGAGGGAGGCGGACTCGCTGAGGGATTTGGCCATTGAATCCATGGTCTTCATCCACGCGGTGATGCCCTTGAGTTGCTCGAAGATGGAGTCGATCTTGGCGTTTGTCTCCGCCCCCTGCTGCTCCACCGACCCCATCACTGCCGAGATCTGGAGCTCCACCGCGGTTGGTACGCGTTTCTTCGACGCCAGTTCGACCATGCGAAACGGCAGTTCCAGCCGAGGGATAGGATTTACAGCGGCAGACGAATCCGCCGCTCATGACGATCGGACTAACGGATCACGGACGGATCGATGAGGAATGAATCGACTCCTGATACCAATTTTTATGCATGAGCTAGGATTTATCTTCCTCGGGGAGGATTTGAGTTTTGAGAGAAGGGGAAAGGGGAGGAGAGTTATTAGCAAATAAGAGAAATATGTTTTGCTTCTTGCTAATCGACTCATGCTTCCTTCTCATCTGCTTCCTCATAGCTTTTTTGAGCCAAGCTTCCTCATATAGCTGTTCTCTCGCTCGCTTCTTCTCTTCCACTTGGGCCTCGAACTCGTGCCAGTCTTCGGTTACGCCTTGTGGCTTTGGGCCGTCGCCCTGGGCCGGCCCATGCCATGACATATAAGAACTATTGGCCACTATAGATTTTCAAATGCGATTTTGTGAACAATTTGTTAAAATATGAACTATATTTTTATTTTTCTGAATATTTTCAAAACAAAAAATGTGAAAAGGAAAATAAACTTTAAAAATGAAAAAGAAAAAAGAAACAAAAAATACTAAAAGGAAGAAAAATAAAAAAAATAAAAAAACAGAAAAACTAGTACAAGTTTGAGGCAAGACAAAAGAAACGGGGAAAGCAGTAGAAGAAAAACAACTTGTTCAGGGAACAAGGTTCCCAAAACCGGTTGGTCTCTTGGCAAAGTGGGCTAGCCCATTGCTCGCGCTCGAATTTTTTTTAAGGGCATTGCTCACGCTCGATGGTTTTGCTTCGCCGGACAGTTTGACGCAGAGAGCTTCAAATAGGATTTTTCGCTGCAGCCATAACCGCCATTGTGCTCGCGGGCCCTGGGAGCCGAGGGATTGCGCGCTCGACGCCCAGCCCACCGTTGAAGTCCGTCGCCGGAAACACAGGGCAGGAGATGCCACGTTGCCGCGGGGTGCGGTCAGATCGCCGCTGCTGCACCGATCGCTTCTCCGCCGCAGCTGCCACTGCGCGCAGAACCACCTGGAGCCCCGCCGCCGCCGTCGTCAGCCACACGGGCTTTGCCCGGCGGCAGCGAGGGCAGCGAGAGGAGCGGCGACGACGCCGGGGAGGCGAACAGGGAGACACCTGTCCAGACGAAACGGGGGCGATTGAGGTGTGATTTCTATCTATGCATATGCAGCCTATTCATCCGGAACAGCATCAGGGAGGCCACATGACATGAGCGCCAAAACTCCATGTTGCCGAGGGTCAGAACTCTTAACTCTGAGCACATACAGAAGAAAGCCTTGTTGCACGGAATCATCTGCCATATAGAAAAACAAATGAGATTGAGAACTCAAAAACACCTGATCCCATCAGGCCCAGGACTCAGGACCAGTTACTGCCAAGTGCCAAGATAGCACAGATCGCTGCAGATTACCCAAGCTCAGCAGCAGAAAATAAGCAGGCAGAGAAGCACAATCTGCCCAGCAAACACAATGGCGAAACGCCACAGCCATCATCGGTGCTTTTGACAAACAAACTTTACCCCAGAACCGTCTGGTTACAGAAGCTAGGACTGGTCCGACCATCAACAACACCCAAGATACCATGCCCAGGCAAAGGAATGTACATACAGTTCACGGTATATACCAAACCTAAACATCACCATCATTCTTTTTCTCCGAAGAAACCTGTTTCTATCTTTGTCTGTCCTATAAACCGACACCTGAACTCAAGAAAATGACCTGATATGATCTTATAACTTACTCTGTGAGGCGACCGATGGCGTACGCCTCCCGGGCGACCTCCGCCTCCCGTTTCACATTTTCAGCCAGGCTGGCCATGGCACCTGAGAGCTTCGAGAGTCGATCGAACATTGCGGTCAGACCGCCCTGCAGGGTTGCCATATCTGATTCAGTCTCTGACGATTTGTCACGCTCTGCCCCAGCGTCTGAAGATCTCTTCTTCGCTGCCTTCTTCTGTTCTGCTGCCTGGTGCTTGTACATTTTCTTGAGATCTGCTGCAAGGTTCTTGATGGAATCGCATGATTCTTCAGACGGGAGCGATGACATTCCTGCGGACAAATCCCCCAAGAAAACAAATAGGGGTGGAGCAAGGTGTTGGCGAGGCGAGAGGGTCAGGTTTCCTCCCCCTGACCGGTCTCGTGGTTGCACCACACATTTCTGCAGCCAGGAGTGCATACCACTCACATAGTTTTTGTAACCATCAACCCAGCCTGCCAAACTGGAGTAGAAGACTCCCAGTTCAGTGATGAGGTTCATCAAGGCATGTCCGCGCGACTCACTTGGAGGAGACATTGCTGGGAGCTTTGCATCTGTTGGAGAGGTAATTTTCTGCTGCATTTGGTGAACTTCCTCCAGCACCCTCCACATGCGTGTCTGCCTGTCAGTGTCGTGCACAATAATAAGTATGATATCCACATTTAATGTCAGAGCCTACATATAACATTTTAGCCAATACCTTCAACCTTTGCATACTACCTCAAAAGGAATACATTATTTAACCATAACAGGTGTAATTACAGTTTTGACAATGGTCCTGAAGTCCTCACATGTGCTGTACATAGCGCTACGAAGCAAATAAAGGCTTACCCTTGTAGTAATTCAAGAAGTTGAGGCTGCAACTCTTCATCTCGCAACTTCTCAATTGTTTTTGAAATTGAGTATAGCACTTCAGTTCCTACCACGAGTCGCGAATACAACCCTTTGATAGTAAACCGAGTTTTGTCAACTTGCCTGGCATCTGCATCCCTGGCACATTGATGGCTTAGCTGAGCACATTTTTCGTCGTATATCTGCTGGATTGATTCAATATTCTGCAAATCGCAAGTTTGCAACACCAGTTGAAGCAGTTAGGTCAGAGTGTAGCAAATAAGACAGAAAATAGCATGCACACTTATATAGAAATAATGCAAATAACAGAATTTACTGAAACTTCTGACAGTAATAAGATATTCCGTAACCTAAAAATATCAGGACGCCTGTGAGAGGTTATCCCAAGGCAATTTCTGCATTTATTAGATATGTATATAAATAAACACTAATCTTACTTCAATATTTTGAACGACGCAAAATACTCCCTCCGTAAAGAAATATAAGAGCGTTTAGGTACTATAGTGACCTAAACGCTCTTATATTTCTTTAGAGGGAGTATAAGGGATGCATTAGATATTTGGTTTAAGATCTAAACATAGAACCCATATTTTAAACATCCGCTTTTTTAAAATAAAAAAAAACTAACCATTCAGTTCTCTCACCCACCGCCTTCCATGTCACTCAAAGTCCTCTCCTCGCTTGCCAAACCTCCCCGCCCATAAGTTGATAGCACTGTCATGCCACAATACCTCCCCCTAACA